TAATTTCTTAATTTCTAACTATTTTGATACATATAGCCGAGTTTCATGTAAAGATTTTCAATATTTTTAACTTATATAACTTGACATGTAAAATTCTTTAGAAAATGTAAATTTTTGATGCATTAACTGACTTGGCATACACGGCACAAACCTATGAATCCTACATACTTCTACAAGATCCAAGCCCTGTGACCAGTAAATGAGAGAGACAGAGAGAGAGAGAGAGCAAGGTGTCCTTTAGTCTTACAATCAATTTTGCGGTATGATGCAGCGCAGCATCATTTTGGCAGCCGAGAGATTTACATCTGATCGCACTGGGTGATTCTATCTACACAACACATATTGAAAGCAAGAATTAAAAAAAGCATAAAGGGAGTGCAAGTCAAACACAGCTTAGTTCACATAGGGAAAGAAAAACATCCAACACAATCAACCGTTCGATTCAGGGAATCGAATCAATCAAGTATGAGAGAAAACGAGAGCGATCCTAGTAAATCTTTATAATCATTCATTCGACTGTACCAACTATGGCGCACGCGTTCTTAACATACATACATACATATCGTATAGGTCGTGGTGTGTAGTAAGCGCTTTGCCTAGCCTTACTTGCAGTTCCATACCGAACGAATAAATGAGCGGCGCATACGCATACGCATATTTTGAAAGTCAGCTGAGCTTCAGGCAGTTTCGTCCGATTCGAATTTATTCAAGTTCCGATGTTCACGTGTACATCCCATTCACATCTAATGTCCTAATGTGTACTTCACTGCAAGCATGCGCGCGCACGCACACCTACGCACATACATACTAATTACCAACAATTACAAACAGCACACGCGATTTATTGCTTCAAGCCAGAGTCCTTACGTTTGGCCAGTACCTGTTACCAGATAATACTATACTGCCTTCTTCTAAATACATTTTGGGGATAATTTTATTTACGACGATGCTGAAATTCATCAACATTCCTGTAAAATCTTTTCGAATTATGTACATTACCAAGACGCATACTACGTATGGGGTTTCGTTTATATACATACATACATACATATATGTACCTACATACATCGTGCGGACTAGACTGTATAAATCCAACGAGACTCAATGTGAGGATTGAGCGCGCTCTTCAATAGATCCGATCCTGGCTCTACGGGTGTGGTCTGGTTGTATGCATTAAACTGTGTGCTCGGCTGTGCGTTCCATTGCAGAGGCTAGGGTTCTATGGCTCAAGCAGAGGCTACGGCGGCATGTATTGCTTTGCAGAAAGTATGAGGACAAAACTATCAATCACTATTGGGTCGACCGATCTTTTTCGCTTATAACGACTGGGATATATTCAAATTCTGATATTCACTACACAAGAGTATGGGTGTTGTTCTTGTATGTTCGGTGTTCATCTTCATCATTCTTAATCCATCACTTGTAACTTGGAGAAACAGACAGAGAGAGAGAGAGACAGACAGAGAGAAAGCGTCCTTGCAATCCTATCAATCTTCTAAGTACCTTAAGTAGCTTATTCTGGGACGTCAGTTTTTTTATTTACACATCTTGCGAAGTCAACCAAGTTTAATTGGGAAGGCAGTAATTGAATTAGCAAACATATACAGCGAAAGTTCTACATGTTTTGACGGCGGCGTGGGATTCCAAGTATTGACGGCAGCGTGGGATACCAAGTTGAGACTGCGGCGTGGGAACCAAGCATTGACGGCGGCGTGGGATACCAAGTATTGACCGCGGCGTGGGATATCTAGTATTGACGGCGGCGTGGGAATGTGCGACGTGGGACTAGCAGCGGTTCATCGTGGGGTTGTAATTTTTATTTCTTCGGGGGAATAGTTGAGACGGCGGCGAGGGAAACCAAGTTGTGACGGCGGCGTGGGA